TGTGTGGTGTTCTCGAATTTGATGAGCGTTATTCTTTGAAGGAAAGTGGAGAAAGTGATTATGAGGAATTGTAAATATGTTTTATTAAATTAATGGAGGAAAAATCTTTTTTATAAGATGTTAAATTTCATTTTTAAATCTTTTGAATAATTTTTTTAGATGATAATAGGTACAAAATATAGAGAAAAAAAGGAAAAAAAAATTAGTTGCGTCAACTTTCGTGCAAGTCAAGATCAATTTTTATTGAATCATGATCCATTTTAACTCAATCCATTTTAACTCGTAACCTATTCTAATCCGACCCTAACCCAACATGATTAACCTATTTGCTAGGTCTACCTCCTAACCTTCATTAGGAAGGAATCTTAAGTACCAAGATTTGGTATAAGTTTTTTTTCCTTAAAAAGGGGGATTGTCACGTTAGGGGATTCAAATTGTTGAATGTACCTTTTGACTTGTATTCTTTCTTCTTCTTCTTCTTCTTCTTCTTCTTCTTCTTCTTCTTCTTCTTCTTTTTTTTTTTGACAAGAACAATGATTAGTAGGTTAGTTTTTATTAATTGTTAGTAACTACATATTCAATCTCCAAATCTGATGAATATCTCACCTCCTTCAATAAGGTGCGCGACCCATCAAGCCACTTAATAAAATTCTTTTGACTCATATTCAACTAGTGTAATACTCATATTAATTTCCTTCTTCGCCATACAAAAAGGCGGATTTTCTAACTATGCAGGAAGCAGAATGGAACCGTGGATCCTCGAAGTGAGTTCTCATTGTCTAAGAAAGAAAAAATCCTTAAATGATAGAGAAAAAGGAGTTCTATTTTGAATGTGACAATATATTCTCTTTTGCATTATAAAAAGCAATACACTGAACATGGAAAAATGCTTGAAAACGTGCCTGGAAAGTAAGACCGCACATTAAAATATGCAATATAATAATATTATTAATAATAAATAAAATTAAACTTGCCAGATAATCAGTGAGTATCTATTATCTAATATTTAAAATTATTTGTTTGGTTCCTTGCGTCTTTCGTTTTTATTTTTATTTTTTTTGTGGACAACCATGGGTCATGTTTTATTTTGAACCATGTCAAGGTAACTTTACGCAAGTAAATTAGTCCATTAAAAATATTTTTTAATTTAAATTACACCATAAAAATGCTGTTCAAGTTATGAGTTTATTAAAATATATTTAATAAAAGCTAGTCTTCTCTATATTAATTAATTAATATTATTTTAGTCGTTTTAGTGTTTGAAGTTTGAATTGCTTTTTTTTTTTTTAATGAACCATTCAGCAATTAATCTGGATTCAAATCGGATAAGATTCAATATGTGACAAAACTCTCTTTAACAAGTTTTAACAAAACTGTATTCTTAGGACTTCAAATCAAGATCTCTGACTATTCTAAAAGAATTTCAACCAACTCATCTACCTACTCATGGGTTTGAATTGCATTTTTAATATGCAATTTAACCCAAAAAACATGGAATGTAGTGCACCTCCAAATTTAATAGTATATTTTCTTA